GGCAGTGGGTGCCCCTGACCCACCGTGCCCGCCGTGCCCGCAGCGCTGACGTACCACTATGAGACGCAGTGCATCCCCACGCCAGGGGCCTGGTTTGCCCACCAGCTGCCCGTGTGGCTGCAGAAGCTCAGCGTGGTGGCCACCTACGTCATCGAGATCGCCGTGCCCCCTCTCTTCTTTGCCCCCCTGCGCCGCCTGCGCCTCTTCGCCTTCTACTGCCAGGTGGGGGGCACTGCTGGGGATCCCCAGGGGCTCACTCTGCAGGCACTGGGAGATGGGGTGGTCGTGCTGGTGGTGGTGGTGATGGAGTGCCCAGTGCCCTCTGCCCCCCTGTGACCCGCCAAGGCTCAGTCCCTCCAACCCTTCCTCTCCTCCCCTCAAGGTCCTGCTGCAGGTCCTCATCATCCTCACTGGTAACTACAACTTCTTCAACGCTTTGACCATCGTCTTGGCTTTCTCTCTGCTGGATGAGGAGCATGTGGGGCGCTGGCTGGGGCGCCCCAGGAAGCGACAGGGCAGTGGTGAGCCCCAGACACCCTGATCTCGGGGTGGGGAGGGGACACAGGTGACAGGGAGAAGTGGCTTTTGGCTGTCTTCTGCCTCGGTGCTGCGTGAGCCACTGGTGGGTGCCCACCCCTGGGCAGGAACTTGTGCCCATGTGGGAGTTCTCACTTAGGGAGGGCGTGGGAGGGCTCACAGCCTGCTGCTGACCCCTCCAGCCTGGCCCCCCAGCCTGGGCTCCATGCTGGCCACACTGCTGGAGTTCACCACCTATGGACTCCTCATCTCCTGGACCATCCAGTACTTCGGGCTGGAGATCAATTGGGAGAAGAAGCTGCTGGACTCCAAAGTGGGTATGTCCTGGGGGTCTTCTGACCCTTTGTCCCCCTCCCAGAGAAGCTTATTCCTAATCCCGTGGCTTTCCCTTGGCTCCAGCCTTCACATACCACGAGTTCACAACGTGGCTGAAGACAGTGACGCTGCCACTGGTGGGGATGGCCTTCATCTCCCTCTCCTGGGAGGTCGTCGTGGCCATGTACCGGTGGGTATTGGGGGCACTGGTTCACCCAAGGCTGTGGGGGCACTGGGAGGTGGGAACGGGACAGCCCAGCTCTGGGAATTGGGAGTGTTGGAGCCACCAGGCACAGCTTGGGGGTCCTCAACCGTTCACCTCACAGCCGGAGACCCCAAACTGGGGGGAGGGGGCTATGCCTTTTTGCCCCCTCAGTGCCCCATTTCTGCCCCCCCCAAGGTGTGCCTGTGTCCGTGGATGCTTCTGGAAGCTCTGGGCCACCCTGCAATGGGCCATCCTGGCCACGGCCACTGTCAGCCTGTTCACTGTCAGCCTGGTGAGTTCCTGGGGTGGCTCGGGGGGTTTGGGGTCCCCTGAGCCCTGGTGACACCCCCTGCTGCCACCCCCAGGTGCCCTTTACCTACATTGACCACGACTCCAACGGGAAGCTGTGGCCTGGCATCCACCAGATGTTCAATGCCGTGGAGAGGTTCCAGGTGGTGAATTCCTACGGCCTGTTCCGCAGAATGACGGGGGTTGGGGGACGCCCCGAGGTGGTGCTGGAGGGCAGCTATGATGGGCACAGCTGGACGGTGAGTGCTGGGGGCAAGAGGTGGCACTGGGGGACTGGGGGCTCCTGGAGGCCAAGATTGCTTTGTTCCAGCACTGCCAAGGGCACCATTGAGCACGGCCCCAAGTGCCACATCCACGTGGATGTTAAATCACTCCAGGGATGCTGATTCCCTCCCTGCCCTGGTCTAGAGCACGTGTCCAGTGAGGCTCAGCAAAGGCCCCTAGGGTTTAGGGGTTACAGCAGACAGGTTAATGGCTGGACTCAATGACCTTAAATGTCTCCTCCGGCCTTGTGGGCTGTGTGACTCCATGAAATCCTCCCTGAAGTCCAGCTGGACATCCACAGCCTCCCCTCGTCCCCTGAGCAGGTCGCTTGGTTGCAGGAGGAGCTGGGGTGGGTCAGGCACCTTCCTTCCCTGACTCCCTGTCCCCCCAGGAGATCGAGTTCATGTACAAGCCAGGGAATGTGAGCACGGCCCCAGCCCTGGTGGCTCCTCACCAGCCTCGCCTGGACTGGCAGCTCTGGTTTGCAGCCCTGGGCTCCCACC